ATATTAATAGCATAGTCCTTCAGCTATTGTCCTATTTCTCTACTCTCCATATTAGAAAATCTCCTTTAAGGGTGGCTTCTACTTTCGGCCTCAATTCTCCTTTCCGTTATCTTTCCTTACTTAGCTCACTTAAGTCTGGCTTTGTCGGCACCATTCCACTAAAACTGCTCTTGTCAAGGTCACCATCAGTCTTTATTTTGCAAATCCAGTGGTCAATTTGCAGTTCTCATTTTACTCATCCTTTAGCATTTGATAAAATTAATCTCCCCTTCCTTCTTGAAATCTGTTCTTCAACTTCCAGGTCAGCATACTTGCCCTTATTCTCAATCTACCTTACTTCCCAGGGACTCAATATCTCCTGTGATTTTTTTTTTTTAAGATTTTATTTATTTATTCGTGAGAGACACACACACACAGAGAGAGAGAGAGGCAGAGACATAGGCAGAGAGAGAAGCAGGCTCCATGCAGGAAGCCCAATGTGGAACTCAATCCCGGAACTCCAGGATCACCTGAGCTGAAGGCATATGCTCAACTGCTGGGCCACCCAGGCATCCTACTTCCCGTAATTTTAAACACCACCTGTATGGTGGCTTATTCCCAGATTTACTTCTCTTGCTGTGACCTCTGAGCTCCAGATTCCTGTATCCAACTGCCTACTTTATGCCTCAACTTAGATGATTAATAGCCATCTCAAATAATATGTCTAAATAAGAACACTTTTATTTTCCTCAGACTTCCTCTCTATTGTTCCTTACTTCTTATCACTCCTATTGCTACATCTTTTGTCTGAGGCACCATCATCTTTTCTCTGGTTCATTGCAGTGACTACCCACTTGTCTTCCTGCTTCCATTCTTATCCTTTGCATTTTTTCCCCTCTATATTGTTAGCAAAATGATCTTAAAACAAATCAGATTGTGTCACTTTACTGCTTAAAAACCTTCAATGAAATTCTGAAAAAGAAGAATAAAGAAGGGGGAAGAGCTAGCTTCCAAAATTATAGTAAAACTCTGAATTTTACAAAGCGAGGTAGTTAAAAATAACTGATACTGAAGCCTTGAATAGACAGACAACTCAATAAAAAGTCCAGAAGTAGACCTAAATATATATACAAATTTAGAAATAATAAAGATGGCATTCAAATAGATCAGTGGGAGATTTAGATTATTCAATAAATAGTGTTATGACAATTGAGTATACATGTGGAAGAAAATGCAGTTGGATTTCAATGTTATAGGTTACACCAAAGTGAAGTTTAGATGGAGAAGAGATTTAAATATAAAAAAATATTAAAGTAGTTGGAAAAAATACAGGAAAGAATTTTAATGCAGAAGTGGGAAAGTCTTTCTAAATATGTCACATAACCCAAAAGCCATAAAAGATTTGTTAGGGAAATTCAACTACATTTCAAAGTCAAAGGACATGAAAAAAAAATAAAAAGATTGCAATTCATGTCATAAAAGGCTAGTTTTTTTTCTATATGTAAAGAGCTTCTGTGAATCAATAAAAGGACCCTGTACCCATTAGGAAAATGGGCAAAACTATGATCCTTCAGTTTACAGACTAGGAAGTAAAAATTGTTCTTAAACATATGCAAAGATATTCAGCTTCAAAATTAGAGAAATGCCAGTTAAAGCTACAGTTTTATGAGATTGGCAAAGATAAAAATGATGGATAACACTGTTAAGGCATTTTTACATATTGTCAATAGCAGTTGGTAAAACTGCTACAGAGAGCAATTTAGTAAAACTTGTTAAAATTTAAAATGTAAATACCATATTACCAAGGAACTCCATTTTTAGGAATTTATCCTTCAGATACATTTCACACATTTATAAAATAAAGTATATACAGGGATGATTACAACATTGTTTGTAGCAGCAGAGGCTTGAAAACAACCAAATTGTTTCATCAGTAGTCAGAGCCACTGTGAGTTCATCCTAAGTTACTGTCTGAACTAGAAAAAAATAGGCCTACATGAGTAGGGCCTGAAATATACCCCTCTCCTATCTCCTATCTGGTAAGTGGAGTTCCTTTCACAAGCATATGCAGCAACTCTTTGGGGACTGTAGTTAAAATAAATTTGCTATATCCATACAGTAGAATACTATGCGCTTAAAAAGAATGTGGTAGCTATATATGTACAGACATAGACCAGTCTCGTATATAATAAATGAAAAAGACAAAATAGTATATAGCCTACTGCCATTTGTATTTTAAACACATACGCACACACAAACCACATGCTTGTACATATGTATAGAAAGCACTGGAAGGCAGCCAGAAAGTAGATAATAGTGGTTGCCTCTGAGGAAAACTGAATGACTGAGGCAGAATTTTAAGAGGGGGAATTATTACTTTTTCATTGTTTAATGTTTAAATCTTTGAATTTTATGTCACGTATTACATTGCTCATTCAAAAAATATGCATAGAAGTTTTTTTAAAAGCTAAAGGAAAACACAAGATGATAGGAGTAGAGATAGTTCACAGAAGATGCACTAACCCCACTAATGTTAGGTAATTTTTAATTTATTGAGAAATAGCAAAAAAGTTTCATAGTTCTGCGTTAACTAGAGTGTGGGGAAACAGGCTCACATACATTGCTGAAGGTCGTATGCTTCGATATAATACGCTTCTGTGGAAAGCAATATGGCTGCACCATCATAATAAAAATCTTCTGACCCACCCAACTGCACTTATAATACCTTACTCTATAAATATACTAACACATGTAGAATTAATTCACATGTAGGGGTATTTATTATGGCATGTTTATAAAAGCAAATATTTTTGACATTTCCTGTTGAGCAGCAGACTCTTCAGAGTACCATTACCTATGGTACACTGAGTGTGTAAAGCTGCCCTGGGAGCAGTTACATAAATATACCTCTAAGATAGCTTGCTGTATGTACAGTGCAAGGTGCTGGAACCTAACTAATAATATGCTACCAATTTGTAGTCAGAAGCAACTTAAGTACAGGGGCCGTCTCTACAAGGGTGTCTGAGAAACTGGGGACCATGTTGTGTTCAAGGATGAGTCTGGATAAAGGGCAGACAGAGGTGGAAAACTTAATTTTCATGTATATACTTCTTTTCTTTTTTTTTTTTTAAGATTTATTTATCTTAGTGCACATGGAGGGGAGGGGGCAGACGGAGGGGGAGTCTTAAGCAGACTCTGTGCTGAGCAGAGCCCGAAGCAGGACTCCATCTCATGACCCTGAGATCACTACCTGAGCTGAAACCAAGAGTCAGATGCTCAACCGACTGTGCCACCAAGGCACCCCTTCGTGCATATAGTTTTATACCTTTTGTATTATTACATAATTTAAAATTATTACATCTGTTGCCTATTTAAAAAGTAAGTGTAAATAAAATCTGCAGTGGTTTCCCATCACTTTTAAAATACAGTCCTAACTTCTTGTTGTTCTTCTTGTTGTTTTTGAAACTAAGACCTTCCTGATCCTATGAAATTTGGCTTCTGCCTACCTTTTCAGACATTTCATTCTAGCCTCTGCTTACTTTATTTCAGCCTTATTCTCATCTCTGTTCCTAAAGCAGGCCAAACTCTTTCTCACTTGAGGACTTTTGCATCTATAATCCCAGTGCCTGGAGTCCTCTGACTTCAGGCCTTTGCATGGTTTGCTCTTTTGAGTATTTATAAGATCAATGTTCAGATGTTTACTCCAAAAATATCCCTCCTCCGCACATCACTCTCCATTCCCTTACTCTGCTTGCTTCTTGCTTGCTTTTCTTTTTCTCTTTCTTTTCTCTCTCTTTTTTTTTTAAGATTTTATTTATTTATTCATAGACACAGAGAGAAAGAGGCAGAGACACAGGCAGAGGGAGAAGCAGGCTCCATGCAGGGAGCCCAATGTGGGACTCGATCCTGGGACCCCAGGATCACACACCCCAGGCTGTAGGCGGTGCCAAACCGCTGCGCCACCGGGGCTGCCCACTTTCTTTTCTTTCATAGTACTTCTCACTACCTGGAATTATACATTATATATTTGCTTTACTTGTTTATCTTCTGTCTCTTCCTGTAGAATGTAAAGCCCATAAAAGCAGGACTTTCTTTGTCTTGATTTTTGCTATATCCCCAGGGCTTAAAAACAGTGCCTGGTTTATAGTAAACATTCGGTAAATATTTATTGAATGGAAAACATGTTTTTGGTACATTCTCCTACTCTGTTGATTATTCTTCAGCTTTGTCTTATAAAAACTTGTTATTTGCAAAAAAATTCAAGGTAGTCAAATGTATTAGTCTTTTCTGTTTTGTTTTTAACTCTTTTGTATATTGAATACCTAAGGTTCTCCTTAGGGTACCTGCCTGGCTGGTCAGTAGAGCTTGCAACTCTTGATGTCAGGGTTGCAGGTTCAAGCTTCATGTTGGGTGTAGAGATATCTTAAAAAAAAAAAAAAAAAAAAGAATACCTTCTCCTTGTTTTGGCTATTTGAAAGTTCTCCATTGATTTTATTTTATTTTTATTGATTTTTAAGATTAAAAAAAATTTTTAAGTGATCTCTCCTCCCAACATGGGGCTTAAACTCACAACCCAAGATCAAGAATCACATGCTCTGCTGGCTGACCCAGCCAGGTACCCCTTTCCAGATTTTAAAGTTTTATTTTTGTAATGTTGAGGTCTTTAATCAATATGGAATATATTTTTGCATGTGGTTTGAGATTGGATCTGATTTTTCTGAATAGCCAGTTGTCCTAATCAGCAAAGATTGTCTTTACTGTTTTGATGGTCCTTACTATAGGTAGAGTATTTTTTTTTAGAGTATTTTTTTAATTGATAAATGGAACAGATACTGATTGGAAGAATCAGGAATTAGTGTATATTTTCCAAAGTAACTTATTTATTGCAACTGCTCTTTCAGAAGAATTGTTATTATTACTATTTTTTTGCTATGTGCCACCTTTCAATTGATAGCAATTATGGTCAGTGATAAGGTACTGAAAAACATCACTTTTTGGTTTCTGAATTTGTTTTTAACTAGGGAAGCACACAGACAGATGCCACGAAACTTCTGTCTTCCCAGTCTTCCAGGCTTTTAAAAAACAAAGCAGTGTTGTGCAAGCCTGTCACACAGACCAAGGCCACCGCTTGCAAACCACATACACAACACAAGGAATGTCAGACAGGTATGTGTTCCTGAGCTCTCCATATGTAGAAAGTTACTCTGTTTTTCTTGTTTTTGTTTTTTTAAGAAAAGTAAAGAAAATCATTTACAGTTTCATAAATGTGAACACATTCATTCTTGGATCACATACTTTGAACATCTGATTGCTTCCTTTTATAATTATTGTCAACAATGATAACTACTAAACTGCATCCATCTGCACACACAGCATTATGTGTAGAGTGGACAAACAGCTCTGCATGTGCACTGCTGTTTTTCAAATGTAAAAACTGTTATGACTACTAAGATATAAATTTACTTAAAAGCATTAATGATATAAAAAAGGCAGCAGTGATTTAGCCTTAGTTCTTTTTTAAAAAAACACCATGAATTGATTTGTTATTTACTGAAAGTAGAACTATATATCTGAGGTGTTGGCGATCAGGAAAATTATTTTCATTCATACTTGGAAAGGTTATAAATTATTGCCCCCAAGCCATGTTAACTGCCACTACCCTTATATTTTCAGTGACTTGTGTAGCCTACTCTGCCCAAAGCATTTTTTTGATTTTTGTTTTTAATGATAATTTTACTACCCAGAATATACTGTATTTAAAAGCATAGTCTGAAAAAAACAATAAAAGCATAGTTTGTCAGTAAGTAATCATGAGTTTTTATGTAGGGTACCTTTCTTCTTGGTAGGAGTCAAGGAGAATCCTGCATAGTGCTGCTGAAGCGAGCACTATACATCGAGATTCTTAATGGATGCATTGATTATAATGTATATAACCTATTTGTCCCCCTATGATTGAACCGTGAGATTGCTTTTAGTTATGTAATATTATAAACAGTGTTAAGTTGTATAAATGGATTTTTGTTCACTTGTCTAATTAGGATAAATCCTAAGTAGTAGAATTCTAGATTCAAAAGGTATCACAGATTTTTTAAGGCTTTTTTTTTAAATTTTTTATTTATTTATGATAGTCACAGAGAGAGAGAGAGAGGCAGAGACACAGGCAGAGGGAGAAGCAGGCTCCATGCACCGGGAGCCCGATGTGGGATTCGATCCCGAGTCTCCAGGATTGCGCCCTGGGCCAAAGGCAGGCGCCAAACCGCTGCGCCACTCAGGGATCCCTAGGCTTTTGATAGGTATTACAAAATTGAAAAATTACATCAGTGTTTAAGAATATCCATTTCTCTTTACTCTCATTGACACTGGGTATTCTAATAATTTTTTTTCCTCCACTTTGGGAAAATTACAGAATTCAGAAAGATTGAAAATATGGCACAATGAACTTTAATATATTCTTCATCTTGATTCACTGTTAACTTTTTGAAACTTTTGTTTTCCGAAAAACTTAGAAATAGAATAATTTCTTAATTTGATGTATCCTGTGGACCTCAGCCCTAATGCCAGTAATCTACTGAATATATTGCATTGCAGTTCATGTACCACAGCCTGCCATTTTGCTTTAGTCAGTGGCCAAGTTTGGAGCAAGGAGAAATTCAGTTTTTAATGGTACCATGGAAATATCATGGTTTGCATTTCAACTTTAATGTATTCTTTTGACAAATATAAATAGTAATAAAATATAAATTTTAAATGTGTAGGGGAAAACAAAGAATATAGCTTATGTCTTCTTGAAAATAACAGTGATTCAAATATTTCATCTAGATTTCCCTATGCCTAATGAGAAAAAGGAAGCAGAACTTGAGTCTCCACCTGCAAAGAAGAAAAGAATAGGTTTTTTCCAGACTTATGATGCAGAATATTTAAAAGTTGGTTTTATTATCTGTCCAGGATCAAAAGAAAGTTCACCAAGGCCACAGTGTGTGATTTGTGGAGAAATCTTATCCACTGAAAACATGAAGCCAGCAAATCTTTCTCATCATTTGAAGACAAAACATTCAGAATTAGAAAACAAACCAGTAGATTTTTTTGAACAAAAATCTCTTGAAATGGAATGTCAAAATAGTTCTTTAAAAAGGTGTTTACTAGTTGAAAAGTCACTTGTGAAAGCTTCTTATTTAATTGCTTTCCAAATTGCTGCCAGCAAGAAACCATTCTCCATTGCTGAAGAATTAATTAAACCATATTTAGTAGAAATGTGTTCAGAAGTTTTGGGTTCAAGTGCTGGAGACCAAATGAAAACCATTCCTCTTTCTAATAATACAATTGGACACAGGATCGATGAATTGTCTGCAGACATTGAAGATCAGCTGATTCAGAAAGTCACAAAGTCAAAGTGGTTTGCCCTTCAGGTAGATGAATCATCCGAAATCTCAAATATCACCCTTCTTTTGTGCTATATTCGTTTCATTGATTATGATTGCAGTGATATAAAAGAAGAATTACTATGTTGCATTGAAATGCCTTCTCAAATGACTGGTTTTGAGATATTTGAACTAATAAATAAATACATTGATAGTAAATCGTTGAATTGGAAACATTGTGTTGGTTTCTGTACAGATGGGGCTGCAAGCATGACTGGCAGGTGTTCTGGTTTAAGGGCAAAAATTCAAGAAATTGCTGCGAATACAGTGGCATTTACATACTGTTTTATTCACCGTGAACATTTAGCAGCAGAAAAGTTGTCTCCATGCTTACATGAAATTCTTTTGCAATCAGCACAAATTTTAAGCTTTATAAAGAGCAATGCATTGAATTCGCGAATGCTAACAATTTTATGTGAAGAAATGGGGTCTGAGCATGTGAATTTACCACTCCATGCTGAAGTACGTTGGATATCAAGAGGGAGAATTTTAACAAGATTATTTGAATTACGACATGAAGTTGAAATTTTTTTAAACCAAAAGCATTCAGACTTGGCCAAGTATTTTCTTGATGAGGAATGGGTTGCAAAGCTGGCCTATTTATCAGATATTTTTTCACTTATAAATGAACTCAATTCAAGTCTCCAAGGAACTATGACTACTCTCTTCAATTTGTATAATAAAATGGATATATTTAAGGAAAAGTTAAAAATGTGGTTGAAGCGCACACAAGAGAATGATTATGACATGTTCCCTTCATTTTCTGAATTCTTAAACTCATCAGACTTAAATATGAGAGGCATTGCAAGCATTATTTTTGAGCACCTGGAAGGTCTTTCTCAAATGTTCCATGACTGTTACCCACCAGAAGAAGACTTGCGCTCAGGAAATTTGTGGATAATTAATCCTTTTATGAATCACCGAAATAGTAACCTCACGGACTTCGAAGAAGAAAAACTAGTACAGTTATCTTCAGATTTGGAATTACAATCAGTATTTAAATCAATGTCTGTAACTCAGTTTTGGATAAATGCAAAGACAAGTTACCCAGAACTCCATGACAAGGCAATGAAGTTTTTATTGCCTTTTTCCACTATTTATTTATGTGATGCTACATTTTCTGCCTTGACAGAGTCAAAACAAAGAAATTTGTTGGTTTCTGGTCCTGCCCTAAGACTTGCAGTCACATCTTTAATTCCAAGGATAGAAAAATTAGTAAAGGAGAAAGAATAGAAACATGGCAATTGCTTATTTTCAAAGTCTATAATTTTGTGTGAAGTTTTATATAAGTACTCTAAAATATAATTTCTTAATGTGGATATGTGTTTTCAGTGATTAAATAAGTCTTTTAATTAATCATTTTTCTTTATGTTGAAGAATTTAGTAATTATGCATTTATACCTAGTTATGTATAATTTTATTAGTCCAAGGTAGAGAATTTAACTATTTTATCGTTTGATTAGATAATCTAGATTAGGGACAAAAATGAGGGTAACAAAACCGTTTATAATGTACCGGAACAGCTGGATGTAGAAATAGAAACCGCTGGGCCTTTAGGAACACAAGGGACATTGCCGTGTGCAGCCAGACAGCCCACAGTCCAGCAGGCTGAGGGTAGGTACAGCACATATCTGAACAGCTTGGCTAACCAGAAATGGAAGCAGCAGGAGAGTTTGAGAACCCTTGTAGGGGTCTCTGTGGCCCTCTACTAGGGCTTGGCAGACTTTTTCCATAAAAGGCCAGATAGTGAATATTTTAGGTTTTATAGGCCATATGGCAGCAGCTCCTTAGTTCTGTGGTTGCAGCACAAAAGCAGCTGAAGGCAATACACAAACGAGCGTGGCCGTGTTTCAATACAACTTTTTATTTATGAATATCGAAATAATACAGTTTGGGTTTTCTTTTAGGAGTTTATCAATTTGAGGGGATCCCTGGGTGGCCCAGCGGTTTAGCGCCTGCCTTTGGCCCAGGGCGTGATCCTGGAGTCCGGGATCGAATCCCACATCAGGCTCCCTGCGTGGAACCTGCTTCTCCCTCTGCCTGTGTCTCTGCCTCTCTCTCTCTGTGTCTCTCATGAATAAATAAATAAAGTCTTAAAAAAAAAATATTTTATCTATTTGACAGAGGAGCAAGCAGGGGGAGCCAGGGAGGGTGCAGCAGGCTCCCCACTGAGTAGGGAGCCTGATGTGGGCTCCATTCCAGGACCCTGGGATCATGACCTGAGCCGAAGGTGGATGCTTAACCGACTGAGCCCCCCAGGTGCCCCCAAATAATACAGTATTCATGTGTCATGAGAGCTGCCTTTATAATTCTTTTTATCATTAAAAAATGTAAAGAAACATTATTAGCTGGGGAGGAGGAGGGAATGAAAAAAATCAGACAGCTGGCTTAATTTGGCCCACTGTTGGTCCATCCAGGTCTCAGCAGATCTCCAGGTCATACCGACAGGCCAGGAGTGGCTGGTAAGGTTTTATTCAGTTGGAAGTCTCTCTTCCCACAGCTGCAAGTGTCCAAATTTTCTTTCTTTCTTTCTTCTTTTTTTTTTAAATTAATTAATTAATTTATTCATGATAGAGAGGCAGAGACACAGGCAGGGGGAGAAGCAGGCTCCATGCACCGGGAGCCCAACGCGGGACTGGATCCTGGGTCTCCAGGATCGTGCCCTGGACCAAAGACAGGTGCCAAACCTCTGAGCCACCCAGGATCCCCAAGTGTCCGAATTTTCAAATGCTTTTCACATTTTAATTTCAGCTGAGAGAAATTCGAGGGAAAATGTGTTTTGCACGAAGAAAAGAACAATGTATAGATACTTGTTACTGATTTATTACTAATAATGTCATAACTTACTAATTTACAGATAACTTTGGAGCTCTGCCCTGTGCCAGGCATTGTGCTAGAACTAACAGGCCCGTGGGAGGCTAGGGGGCCGCTCGGGGGGCCGAGCTGGCTCAGGCAGGAAGGAAACCCCGTCTTTGGGGAGGAGGCGCGTGTAGATACTCCTCTGGATGGTCTCTACTGGTTGGGAGACCAGAGACTTCTGAATTCAGAGGGGCTTGCTTGGTCATTTGAGCCGGTGGCCTCAGTGCCCTGGTCTGTGAGATGGGGCTGCCCCACCAGGGAGGAAGGTGGCAACAGCCTGGGGGGTGAGGATCTGGAGACTCAGGAGGTCAGGCCTCCCCTCCCCGCCCCTCCTTCTCCTCCTGCTCCCCCCACTCCAGGGCCTGTGGAGTTGCTGTGGGCTCCCTCGGGGGAGCCAGTGGGGGGGCAGAGGACCGATGGGTGGGGTCCAGTTGCCTTCTGTCCCACCAGCGACAGACGCAGCCCTCCCTGTCCCTGCCCCTCCTTTCTGGGGTGGCGTCCCTGAGGTTCCCTGAGGTTCTTGAGGAGCGGGTTTATTCCCCGCTGGGTGGTAGGCAAGCTGCTCAAGGGTGCGGTGCATCCGCTCAAGTTGCACCGACAGCTTAGAATTTCTTCTTGCAGCCCAGTAGGGAGGGCAGAGCTGGTGGGGGGGGGGGCGAGGTGGTCTCGTGGCCCAGATGGAGCCCGACTCAGCAAAGTGAGCCCCCGAGTCTCCTGAACTACTGGGGAGTCTGCTGCAAGGGATCCAGGCCCCGCAGACCGTGTTCCGGAGCGGGACCGTTAAACAAGCCACAGTCCACCCTGTCCAGCCTCTCCCCCACCTCCCAGCATTTCCGGCGGGGTCCTGGCCTCCAGGAAACCAGGCCTGGCAGCCAGACTGAAGCTGGGCATGCCTGGCTTCCTGGTCTTGCAATCTGGGGCTGGGCTGTCCCCTAGGGAGAGCTGTGGAGGGAGTCAGCGCCCCTGCACTCCCCCACCCCCACCCCGGCCCTTCTGGAGAGTAAAGCCTGCTTCCTGATGGCAAAGCTCACTCCCTGGGGCCCTCTCCTCTCCAGACGACCTCAGGCCTGGACCTGCCCTGGAGCGGGAGCTCACTGCTGAGGGTGCAGGCGCAGGGTGCCCCCAGGAGGGCCCAGGCCGTGGACCCCAGGGGGCGGCTGACGGGGGTTCCCTGCCACCCCTAGAAAGCCCTGCGCGTGCAGCCTGCTGAGGGCTCCCGTTGAAGGTGTTGGGCTGCCAGCCAGACCCCAGGAGCCACCAAGAGGCAGTGGGCTGCCTGGCCACGCTGGCCCTGGGCCCGGGGGTGCTGCAGGAGGTGCAGAGCTTGCTTTTGGTCCTGCTCACGATGGGTTAGGGGGTGCAAGTGGGCTGGGAAGTGGGGACTTGTGGCAGAGGGCAGCAGAATGCCTGGTTGTTCCCTTCCCTGCTGCCTCCTTTCCTTTTCTTTCTGGAACTCGCTGCTCTACTGTCGTTTCCAGACCAGGACAGGTGCTTTTTATTTTATTTTTAAAGATTTTATTAACGAGAGGTAGAGAGAGGCAGAGACACAGGCAGAGGGAGAAGCAGGCCCCCGACATGGGACTCGATCCCAGGACCCCGGGGTCATGCCCTGGACTGAAGGCGGAGCTAAACCACTGGGCCACCGGGCTGCCCAACAGGTGCTTTTTAAACCTCACTTAGCATAACAGGATTCTAGGTCAGATGTGCCTCATGGATTCAGTGGGTGCAGGGTACCCCCTTGTAAGGATGTGTTCTACCCTATGAGCCCTTGCTCCCCTCACCCCTACCCTTAAGACGAGGGGCCGGAGTAGCAGCTGCCAGTGGACCTCTGTGTCCGGCAGGTGGGGAGCGGGCGCAGCAGCCGGGCCCCCCGACTAGGAGGGCACAGGATGCCCCGGGGACAGGCGGGCCTCGAGGAAGCCCTCAGTGGTTCTGCCCGTGGGAACCGCTGACGTACAGACAGCGGCCGCTTCGAAGGCCAGACGTCTTCAGGCTCCTTGTGTCCCCGGCCCTGTGTCACCCTGACTGCGGCCACTGCCACCCCTGCCCCAGGGTTTCTTTCCATCCCTGGAGCTTCCCTCATTTTCGGATCTTTCCTGTCCCTCCTCCACCAAGCCCCGGGCCACCGCCTCTCCAGGAGGACTATGAAGGACGAAGGACCAGAGGTTGTTCCCAAATGCCCGCCCCCCCGGTCTGGATGGTCCAGTTTCCTTCTCCTCAAGGAGGGGGTCTGCGTTAGTTCAGGAGACTTCCAGTCTGGGTTCTAGTCTCTCCTGAAGGCCCGAGGGGTGGGTGCAGCTCGCTTAGGCCGCGTGTGTGCATGTGTGTGCAGATGTGTGCAGTGGGGCCTGCGGTGGCTCCGGGAGCCTTGGGGACCCCACTATCCACGCCGGGGCTCTTCACCTGCCTGCCCCCCTCTACCTGGGGCTCCTGCTGCTGCTGCTGCTCGGGGGCCGCGGCTCATCGTCCAGACGAAGGAGGTGGCCGGAGCCCTGGGAAGGAGACTTGCCTGCGCGTTCAGGGACCCTGGGAGAGAGGGCCTCCGGCCCCCTCGCGCCGCGGCAGGAACTCGGGGGAGCACGCGCCGTGGGCACCCTGTTGCCAGTACATCCCTGGTTGGCTGCCCTTGAAGCGCACGCCTCCTGGCCCTGCTTCTTCCTGTGGACGTTTCCTGCTCTCTTTTGAGGGGTACGTGTTCTACATCCTAGCATGCCTCCTGGCATGTGAAAATAGGACATACACAGAAAAGCAATTTAAATCACCCTAAATTGGGAAACCTGGGGGGCTCCGTGATTGAGCATCTGCCTTTGGCTCAAGTCATGATCCTGGGGTCCCGGGATCGAGTCCTGCATCGGGCTCCCTGCAGGGAGCCTGCTTCTCCCGCTGCCTGTGTCTCTGCCTCTCTCTCTCTCTGTCTCTCATGAATAAATAAATAAAATTCTTTAAATAAACAAAATAAATAATCACTCTAAATTTTAATGCTTCAAAATAACTACCACTGATTCCTTTTAATAACTGGACTGCTCAACTTTTTTCATTGCCCTCATAGCTATTTTTTAATGAAAATGAGACAATATAAATTACTTTTTAAAACTCTGGTACTGTAACACCATTCCGGGTCTATTTTAGCTCAGTGATTTTTTTTTAAGATTTTATTTATTTATTTATTTATTTATTTATTTATTTATTTATTTATTTATTTTATTTACTTTTAAAGATTTTATTTATTTTTTCATGAGAGACACAGAGACACAGGCAGAGGGAGAAGCAGGCTCCCCGTGGGGAGTCCGATGCGGGACTTAATCCCGGTCTCCAGGATCAGCCCTGGGCCAAAGGCAGGCACTAAACCGCTGAGCCCCCCAGGGGTCCCCATAGTGATGTTAATGGCTGTACGGTATTCCCTGTAAGGATGTCCTGTAATGCATTTATTCAAGCCCCCACCGAGGAACACTCAGACTGTCCCCAGTTTTTGCTATTGTAAACTTCACTGTACATCACCTTTGCAGATTTAGTGTTTTTCCCTAGAAGTGAGGAGAGAGGGTGGGGAGGGGGAGACAGGAAGAGAGAGACTCTTAAGCAGGCTCCATCCCCAGCACTTCGGGAGCTCGAGCCCATGACCTTGAGATCACTACCTGAGCTGAGATCAAGAGTTGGATGCTCAATGGATTGAGCCACCCACCCAAGCACCCCTGGGTTGTCCCCTTTTTTTGTTGCTATTGTAAACTTCAGAGTACATCACCTTTGCATCCTTATATCTTTCCCCAGAAGGGAGGGTGCTGCTCCAAAAGGCACATTAAAAAATTTTTTAAAAACACGTTTTTTTTTTTTAAAGATTTTATGTATTTATTCATGAGAGACACACACACACACAGAGAGAGAGAGAGAGAGAGAGAGAGAGAGGCAGAGACATAGGCAGAGGGATGAATCCCGGAGGTGCTGGGGAATCAGGAGGGCATGCGCCTGCGCAGGAGAATTACTGAAGGAAAGTGACCAGGTCAGAGTCCCCACTATCACATCACCAACCATCTCCACCTCAGTGGGGACCTTTTGGAAAGCATGCGTCCCCCCATAACGGAAGATAGCAAAAGAGCTCATTTATTTATGCAAGTGCTCTAGCCTCCAGCCTACAGACCACTGTGGGGGCAGGGACCTTGGCTTTTGGGAGCCCACGGGGGAGGAGAAGTCTGTGCACCTGAGACCATTTCATCCGCCCGGCAGAACAGCGAGCTCTGCTCTGACGTGGACATCCTGGGACCTCGGGCAAGCTGGCACCCTTGAGTCCCTTCTTCTTGTGTCTGAAAGCACAGCGATGCAGTCTAGAGGACGCGTGCACGTATGCGTCTGTATGCACGTGCTGGTGCATCTGTAATAGCACGGAAAGATGGTCGTCTGTGTAAGGCACACGTACAACATGCACTGGTGCACGTTCATTACGCAGGTGTCCTAACAGGAAGCCGTTTCTTCAGAGGTCCAGCTATAGCATCCCTTCAGTTTCCAGGTTGGGTAATTTGGCTGCTTTGCAGTGACATCAAAGACTGACGTTCTCTCAACTTTCTGCCTTTTTTTTTTTTTTTGACAGTGCCCACGAGTGCACAATCATGGGGAGCAGCAGGGGGAGAGGGTAAAGAAGACTCCCCACTGAGCAGGGAGCCCCATGTGGGGTCCATCCCAGGACCCTGGGATCATTACCTGAGCTAAAGGCAAAGGCTCAACCTACTGAGCCACCCAGGCGCCCCGGCCCTGCTGCTTTTAATTTATCTGCTCCTGCCCTCGGTGTTGCAAAATAGTTGCAGCATCTCCAGACAGCACGTTTGCACATAACATCCAAAGGTGAAAAGAGAGAGGAAAGCTCTCTTAGGAGACCCCCAGATTTCTCCTCACATCCCCACTGGCCGGAATTATGTCCCATTTCTGTCCCTAGACCCTCCATTGGCAAGGAAAATGGAATTCCCACAATGGACTTAAACTAGTTAAGCTTTATGCACTCTGCTCGGCAAAAAAGAGAGGGGGTATATAATGGTCCCTGCCACTTGCTAGCTTATTTCCAAAATATGGCTCATAATGGTAAGTGCTTCATAGAGTTGCTGGGAGGACTTAGTGAGCTAAAGTGCTTAACAGTCGTGCCTGGCACATAATATGTGCTCAGTAAATGCTATTATTAAATAGCATTTGTTATTAAATAGCAGTTTGTTCTACAGATGAGAAATTGCGTTCAGAAAGCTTCAGCGCCTACCTGTCATATCTGAGACTGGAATTAAAGCCTGATTGACTCCAGACCCCCACTTTCCACTGTACCAGCTGCCAAAGTCAAAAGTGGGCAGGCAGGGTACCCCTGCTTTCTTCAACAGGGGAGATGGGATGATCTGTCCAATGTGATTAACTGTGCCTTGCTTTCCAGAATCGCCCCTCTGCATGAACATTCTGAAGCCCTTGAAAGTAGAGGCTGGACCCTGGGGTCCTGGCCTCTTACCATCTCCACCCCTTCCAGGATGTGCCAGCCAGCCAGTCTCCAGCCAGGACTTTGAGTAAAACCTCTTACAGCTGGCATTAGATCCAATTTGGCCCCTGAGCTGATTACAGGTACAGCCCCTGCCCCCCTTCCCCACCGCCAGCGTGACTGTTGGCCACCCAGCAGCTGCAGAAAAGGCAGGGTGCTGGGGAAGTGGGTTGGCCAGCGGGTGTGGAGCAGAGCAGCTCTGGAGCTCCAGCAGTGCCTCTGCAGCCCAAGGAGAAGCCAGACCTCAGGAAATGTGCCCCCCCCACCACACTCTGGATCTTGCTCAGGTCACCAGGACATTCAGCTTGCAAGGCCTTTCCTCCTCCCTGTGCCAGCTGGCCCTCCAAGACGCTCCCTCCCCTTGGGGCCTTGGCTGTACCCCACAAAGCCAGCTCAGAGCTGCCACAGGGGGGCCCCAGCCGCTCCAGCTGTTGGGCCCCATTCTTCATGTGGTGTCCCAGGATTAGTCGTGGATGGGAGGGTCTGAGATGTGTAGGCAGGAGTGCAGTGTGCTCCCTCTAGCTCTTTAAAGCCAGGCACCAGGAGCGAGGGGAGTGTGACAGCAACCAGAGCAGTAGGAGGTAAGAGGGTGGGATGGCAGGGAGAGGTTGGAGTGGGCCGATTGGGGGCTAGAGGCGTAGTGGACAGAGCTGAGGGTCCAGGGGTGGGAAGAGAATACATTCGAGGTCCCGGAAGGATGGCAGCCCGAGAGGTTCCAAGACAGCAGTGCGAATTTTGGTATTGGGAGAACTGAGTTGTGGGACCCCTAGGAGGGTGACTGTGCCAGACAAAGGAACAGGACATTGGCTTGTGCACCCCCACCCCCGGGGGAAAGAAGAGGAACACGCCCCAGATGTCTGTGTTGTTCTGTGAGCTCCGGGTGCCTGTGTGGGTGGTGCGCACATTCATCTGTGTGCTGCCTGCAGGGGAAGGGAGCTAATGGTTATGGGGTGTCTCCCTGGTGTCATCCGCCGCACTCCGAGTTTTACTTATGTTTCCTCATAATCCTCCCAACAAGGCTGTGAGGTAGGTATTTTAATCTCCCTTTTACAGCAGACAAGCCTGGCTGGGTGAAGCAGAGTAATTTGCCCAAGGTCACATGGCAAATAAATGTGTGTCTCCAGGATCTGCCTCATTCCTGGCCCCATGCTCTTCTTTTGCTTGGCTGTGCAAAGTTTAGAACCAGACCCAGGACTTCTTTGGGGTCAGACCCAGGTCCAGGGGAGGCTGGAAATAGGCTGGAGAGCCGGAGAGTCGTAAGGGCCTTTCCTCATGGGCCTGTGCCTGCCTCCGTGGTTTGCTGCGGAGGAAGGAGGATGGGGCTTTTTCTGGGAAGGACTCTAGATTCTGGTCTGGTTTCTCCAGAACTCCCTGTTGGCTCAGCTTTGCTTGGGCTCACATGTGCCTCCCGTATCTGAGCCATGCTCCATCCACACGAGGCGCTTCCACTCGCTCCCTCAACAGGGCTGGAAATTTCCAAGCTATCTGGGGCTCCTGCCTCTTCCTCCTTTCCCTGCAGCTTGTCAGCAGCCCATCCTGCTTCAGATGACTCTGGAGTTCGTCCCCTGCTCCATCCTCGAGGGGCGCCGGCTCAGCTCTGTCCTCCTCCTCTCCCACATGGACGTCCTGCTTTCCTGCTTCGTGAGTGGCCTCCCAGCCAGCCTGGGGACCAGGAGCCTGGGTGGAGGGCTGCTTCAGAGGCCAGCCCCGCAGTGACTCTTCCTCTCCCTGGTCCAGGCTCTGAGGTGAACGGCTCTGTGCGTGGGGCCCCGGGGGGCCGTGGCTGTGGCCCCTGCGATGACCCTGCTCGCTTGGTGGGGGTGCCCACGGCCTATGCCTTGGCTCTGGGCCTGGGGCTGCTGGCCTACGTGGGCGCCCTGGTGGGGTCTCCCCAGGTGGGCGCCTGGGGGAGAACTCGGGACCCCAGCTGCTCCCCACCCCAGCTGAGGTGCTGTCCACGCTCACTTGACCCCTCTGGTCCCCACTACCTGGGCACCCCCACACCCCATATTCCCGGGACGCTGCCTTGGTCTGGATACAGGTGGTGGGCCACAGTCTGGCCCCGTGCCCCTCGCCCCGGGTTCAGTCACCTTCCCAGTCCCCCTTCCAAGCCTCTGCGCCCGCCCTGCAGGGACTGATGTCACCCCCGACCCTCACCGAGTTGAGCCCTTTGCATCCTCAGGCCTAAGGCCCTGCCTGGCCCACAGCAGGGGGCCCCTCGCTCCTCCACGGCTGGCTTTCCGACTGCAGCAAGTGATTCATTGGGTAATTCACGTTTCCCTTCTATCTGCCAGAATGTATTTCTGGTGATCCGTAAGAAGGTGCCATTTAGTTTTATTTTTTTGGTAGCTCCAGAAAGGTCGAATATTGGCAGTTGTATTTTCACCCAAGTCAACTCCATGAAGTCCCCGTTGGCCTTCCTTGGTGCCACATCCCCTGGGTTGGCGGCTGTGTCCTGCACACAGTGGGACCTCTGTCTATCAGGGGAATGAGTGAAACCTGGATTATTAGCTCAAAACGCACGAGGACTCACTCAGACGTTCCCCACAGGTAGACTGTCCTCAGGTTTTCCTGGGACTCTCCAAGCTCCTACTCCCTGCGTTCATTCTGGACCTGGCCTTGACGATCGCTTCCTTTTTCTGTTGCATCCAGCACTGATAACCTGCGGTTCAGCCATCAGCCGAGACTTGGTGGTAACCCAGCTGGGGCAGGATCGGCCGACTTGCTGCCTTCTGCTTCCGTTCAGCTAGGACTCCCCCTGGGATGTGTGTCAACGCCAGTGTCAACGGCCACCAGTGCTTTCCCTCCACTTGCCTTCCTGACACAGACACAGCAGTTGGCTCCAGTTGGGGAAGGGAGCCACCCCTCTCCTCTGCCCTCTTGCTGGAGGCCCCACAGCAGGACTACTTGCCTCTCCAGGACCCAGAACTTACAACTGAGAGCAGCAGCTTCATGTTGCCAAGTTGTCTGGGTCAGCAAGGGCCCCCCAATGAGCCACCGGGTCTTATTTCTGAATTTGCCTTCGATTGGTAACAAGTGACAAATTGCTTCTTTTCTTTTTGATAGGTTATCTTTCGTTGGTCCCTAATTCCTCCTTTAAATTTTTCTCATTTACATTTTAAAAGTAATACAGGTTTGAAAATGAATTCAAAGGGATCCCTGGGTGGCTCAGCAGTTTAGTGCATGCCTTCAGCCCAGGGCGTGATCCTGGAGTCCCAGGATCGAATCCCATATTGGACTCCTTGCATGGAGCCTGCTTCTCCCTCTGCCTGTCTCTGTTTCTCTCACTCCCTCTGTGTCTCTCGTGAATAAATAAATAAAAATCTTTAAAAAAATTAAGAAAAGAAGAAAATGAATTCAAAGCACAGAGGAAAATGTGAAATGGAGAGTAAAGGTCCTTTAGTAGGAGCCACTGTTTGTTTTCTCTTGTGTAGATCTTTCTAGATGTTTTCTATTCCAGTACACATGCAAGTATACTTAATAGTCTTCAAAAACCCACAAGTAGGACAGGATTAAAAGGCTCTTCTGCGATTTTCTTTTCTTGTTTAAGAATCTTGTACAAAAAAAAAAGACTCTTGTACATCTCTTTATAACTTTTAATAATAATTTTATCTTGTACATCTACCTCATTCTTGTTGATAGATGCGGAGTATTTATTTTACCCAATTGGGTAAACCAATAGTGAATTGGTTCACTATTGACAGGGATTCGTTTTTACTATCTTCTGCCATAAATGATGCAACGAGTGTCCTTGTCCACAAATCTTTGCATACTTGTAAATCTGTAGAATAAATTCTTGGCAGTGAAATTGCTGCATCAAGGAGTATGCATGTGCACTTAAATTGTTTAATCGCATCATCTAATTACCACCGAAAATGCTGCACCAACTACACACCCATTGATAGTATGTCATGGTCTCTGTTTTACCACACCCTCACTAAGACTGGGTATTGTCATCTGCCCTCTCTGGAATCTGGACTCCTGTCTGCATTACAACTATGAGAATGGCAACCAGAAAAAACAACAACAACAAAAAAACAAAAACAAAACAAAACCCTATGAGAATGGCTAATTTTCTCTCTTTTTCCTAGAAAGCTGCTCAGTCTCCTCCATATTTATTTGAAACCTGGATGGGGTGGGAGTGGGAAGGATCGGATGTCACCTAATACCTCACATGAGCCAAATCTTACCCATCTCCTGCTTTTTGGAGGAATGAAACAGAAGCACAAATGAGATCCCAAACGCACACTGGTAAGTCAGAGCTAATTGTCAAATATCTCTCCTTTTTTGGGGTTAGACTGGTTCATCCCATGCAGCGGGGGTCAGCATCTCAGGCCTAGGCCAGGAGGCAGCCTTGGCCCACATCATGAATTTACTTCTCTGGTGGGATGAATTGCTCAGCCTCAGGGGCCATGCAAGGCTGGGTGTCTGAAAAATGATCTGGTGTCCACCTTAGGGCCAGCTGAGTCTCCTAAGGCTGAATTTGATTCTGTCCAAATAAAAAATGATTCCCTATGGCCTCATCCATCCCTGTGGTCTTATACTACCTTGCTTTTAATGTGACTTTTCCCGTCACAGTCAGTTTCCTTTGGGAAATGTCTGACTTAGTCTTCTGTGTCTGACCTGGGGAAAAATAGCTTGAGATTTGATTGCCTCTGGGAGGTTAGGTCTGGTGGAAAGAAAGCCTCAGTCTAGAGTTACAGTGTGTAGGAATCCTCTTCTTTCCTTCCCATCAACTCGGGCAAGTGGAGCCTGGGCTGAGGACCCAGAGACACAGAGCTTGGGGGGGGAGAGGGAGAACAGACTGCTTTGCACTGTTAGTCCTTTCGGATTCTTGAACCCCGTGCTTAATCCAAACCTTCAAGAATTTGACCCAAGACCCTCCTTCAACCTAAGATGGAGAAGAAGGTAACCCAGGTTGACTGGTCCTTGATTAGATGTGGGACATCCCTTTCTCCAGGGTCCAGGGAAAACTCCTACGCCAACAGTTTTCAACAGCTATCAAGTAGTATGCTCAAGACTCCCCCGTCTCTCTTGCAGGGCTAGGAATGCCCAATCCCTGGCCCTACCCACCCAGGCCCTTTGGCTGTAAGGATCTAAACGTGGTACTGAGAAGCTGCTCCTGACACAGAAGGAACCAATCTTCCCTTCTCTACTGGACCCCACTCCCTCCCTCAGCTTAACAACAGTTCAGATCGCTGAACCCAGCCCAACCCCACTTCCGTCCTTGGCCAGGGCTGGTCCAGGTTCTTGGCTCTGCACACATCTGCCTGGGCCGGGTGACCAGCTCTGCAGCCTCTGTTCCTGCTGGAGGCCTCACCTCTAGCCCAGGTACCATCTGCTCCTTTCGCCTCTGTAGGGAAGCCTGTTAGATTTTACCTTAATTTATCTCTCTGTCTTCAGGCGTCAAGGTGCTGTCTCTGAAGCTGTTCCCTGACATCTATTTCCCTTTCCTCTAGCCCTAGGAGGATAGTGTCCCCCCGCCCCCTTCCTGTGGCTGTAGCTGTTCTTCACTGATCCTGAAACCACCTCCTTCCCAGAATAGTCACATGTGGAGCTCTCCCAGGCCTGCTTTTCCAGCTGTTGCTGTGGCACCTGCCCACCACCGAGGCCTAATAGAGACACATCGACATAAGATCATGCTTCCTTACCCCGGATTCTCAGTGAGCACTAGTCTGGTTCTGAAATGGCCTGTGGTTGGGGTGTTGGGTCCACATTGGTCCCTGGCCAGGTAAAAGTATAAATAGAAGCTCATGTGCTGTATGTCTAAATATTTATTTATTTATTTTTATGTCTAAATATTTAAAAGTTATAAATTAAGTAATCTCTACACCCAACGTGAGGCTCGAATTTACAACCCCGAGATCAAGAGTCACATGCTCTTCTGTGAGCCAGCCACAGCTAATGCATCGTCAAATAAAATGTGTTCTATCCTCATATTTTGACAAATATACCTTCATAATGACGGGATAGAAAAATATGTGTAAATGTGTTTTTGAGGACTGAGAGTCAGCAAATTATCAGAAACAATTGAATTAAATTTGATATGTTATGTTTAAACATTGTGTTTGAATTATTGTCACAGACAATATAATTTTTTTGAAAGATTTTTATTTATTTGTTCATGAGAGAGACACACAGAGAGAGACAGAGACACAGGCAGAGGGAGAAGCAGGTTCCCTGCAGGGAGCCCAGTGTGGGACACTGCGATCCCAGGACCCCGGGGTCATGACCTGAGCCAAAGGCAGACGCTCAACCACTGAGCCATCAAGGCGTCCCTGTCACAGAAAATCTAAAATATTTAATTTAATTTCCTGCTTGGAGTTCTTTCAGCTTTTTGGATCAATGATTTTATACTGTTCCTCATATTGGGGCAAGTTTTAATCATTGTTTCTTAAAATAATTATGTGTCTTTTTTCTTTTTTTTCCTGGGATTCCAACTACAGGTATACTGAATCACTTGAAATTGTGCCATTGAGTCTGTTCATTTTCCCCCATTTCTTTTCTCCCTCTTTGTTCTTTGTTTTGAATAGTTTTTATTGTGTGTCTTCAAGTTCACTGATCTTTTTTCTCCAGTGTTTAACTTGCTACTAATCCCATCCAGTGACTTTTTCACATTGTGTTTTTCATGTCTAGGAATTCCATTTAAGGGGCAGCAGGGTGGCTCAGGTCATGATCTCCAGGTCCTGGGATTAAGCCCCACATCAGGCCTCCTGCTCAGTGTGGAGTCTGCTTGTACCTCTCCCTCTGCCCCTCCCCCTGCTTATGTGCACATGCACTCTCTCTCAAACGAATAAATAAAATATTTTTTAAAAATTCCATTTAGTTATTTTTAAATCTTTTAATTCTTTTTTCATTATGTCCATATTTTCCTCCTAACTACTGAGTATATGTAACATAAGTATGATAGCTATTTAAAGTCCTTGCTTGCTAATCCTATCATCTTCTTATTTCTGACCTTTGTTTCTATTTACTAATTTTTTTCTTTTGATTATAGGTCACATTTTTCTGCATCTTGGTATTTCTGTTATTTTTGGATTGGATGTTGGGGATTGTGATAGTTCTGCTATTGAGTTTTGGTGTCCTCCTCTAAAAACTTTGGATTTGGTTTTATAAGGCAGTCAAGTTACTTTCAGTTTATATTGATCCTTTTGATTCAAATATTGAAGTTTTATCTGGGCTAGTTTGGAAGCCTTTATTCTAGAGATAATTTAGCCATACTACCAATGCATGATCCTCTTGAGCTCTTACTAATAATATGAGTGTTCAATGAGGACTCTCCATTCTGGTTTGTCAGAGCTCAAATATTCTCTCATTCTTGTGGAGCTCTGATGATATTTCAACTTGCAATTATATGTTTTTTGTGTTCTGTCTTCTGATGTTCACCTTTGTGTGCATGGTTGGGTGTCAGCATAAACTGAAGGAGACGCTTAAGCAGATTTCTAGAGCTCTTTTCCTGCAGAGTTCCTCTTATTTGTAACTTTGCTCTGCTACTTGCAGTTCTACCTCAAGCTCCATGAATCCCAGTTTCTGTTCTCCTCAACTAAACAATACTTGCACACTCTACTTGGGATCTTCGACTCTGCACTATGGTCTGGGGTGTATCTCTAGGCAGATAGCTGATGAATTTGTAGGGCTCACTATGCTTGTTTTCCTCCTTTCAGATTCACAGTTCTGCACAATTTGCTAATGTATGAAAACAATTGTTTTGTGTGTATTGTCATGTTTCTTAGTTATTTTGGTGGAAAGGTAAGCATAGTCCCTATTACTCCATCATTTCCAGAAGCATAAGTCAAGACAGACACTGCTTTGAGACAGTATGTAATTGGTCCAAGAACAGACCAATAGTTTGGTGGGATAGGATAGAGTGGAAGAAACATGTCCAGACATATACAGTTCCTGATTAATACCTAAAATGCTACTGCGATTCAGTAGAGGTAAAGGGAGATCTTTTAAATAGATGATATAGGAGAAAATTAATGTTGAGTCCTACCTCACATCATACCTAAAAATTAATTGGAGATGAAGCACAGACCTATATATGAAAGGCACAATGATAAAGCTTCTAAAAGAAATAGGGTAAGAATATCTTCCTAGTCTTCAGGTAGGCAAAGATTTCTTCCCCCCCCCCATGGCAAAGATTTCTTAAATAGGGTATAATAATAACTATAAAAGAAAGACTGTTAATTCATTTTTAAAAAGATTTATTTATTTCAGGGAGAGGGAGAGTATGAGTGGGCAGAGGGGCAGCAGGAGAGGGAGAGAATCTCAAGGAGACTTCCCAATGAGCATGGAGCCCTATGTGGGACTCAGTCCTAGGATTCTGAGATCATGATCTGAGCCAAAGCCAAGAGTACCATGCTCAGCTGACTGAGCCACACAGGGATCTCAGTAATTTGTGTGTGTGTGTGTGTGTGTGTGTGTGTTTTATTTTTATTTGAGTTGACACACAACATTACATTAGTTTCAGGTGTACAACATAGTGATTCAACAAGTCTATATGTTATACTCTGCTCACAAGTGTCTACCATCTGTTACTGTAGAACCCTATTATAGCATCATTGACTATATTCCCTATGCTGTACCTCTTTTTCCCATGACTTATCTATTCCAAAACTGGAAGCTTGTATCTTCCTCTCCCCTTCACCCATTTTTCTCATCCCCCAACCCCCTTACCTCTGGTAACCATCAGTTTGTTCTCTGTATTTGTAGGTCTGATTGTGCTTTTTATTTGTTTATTCGTTTTTTTTAGAACCCACATATGTGTGAAATCATATGGTATTTGTCTTTCTCAGTCTGACTTATTTCACTTAGCATAATACCCCAAGGTTCACCCATGTTGTTGCAAATGGCATGATCTCATCCTTTTTCATGGCTGCATGAAAGGATGGTAATTTGACTTCATTATAATTACAAACTTCTCTTCAACAAATGACAAAATTAACAAAGTGTGAAGACAAACCACAGACTTGTAGAGAATATTTGCAATACATCATTTGGAAAAAGCACTCTTAACGAATATATAATGAATCCCTTCAAATCAATAATTTTAAAAAAAAGACTGACAACTCAAGTTTTAAAAAGACAAAAATCTTGAACAGACTGTTCACAAAAGAGGATATCCAAATGGCTAATAAATATTTGTAAAAGTGTTTGACATCATTTTCTTTCAGGTGAAGTCAAATTAAGACTACAATGAGATACCATCTCATACTTGCACAATTTTAGAATGGCTAAAATTTTTTAAAAACTGACAAGTTCAAGTTTTTGAAGATATAGAGAAACTAGAAGTCTTGTACATTGCTCATTGGGAATATAACTTTATATAAACATTTAGAAAACTGTCTGGCAGCGTAGACTAAAGCTAAACAAACATGAGCTGCGTGACTGTACAACTCAGCTCTAGGTATATGCCCGAGAGAAATGAATGCGTATGTCCACTAAGATATACATGTAGCATATTCACAGCAGCATCTTCCATTATAGCCCTAAATTGGAAGCAAACCAAGTGTTAATCAACAATAGAATAAATTATGATCTAGTCATATCTGGGGTATTAAATAGCAATGAAAAAGATTGAACTGCATGCAATAACATGGATGACTCTTAGTTATAAAGTTGAGCAAAAGAGTCAGACACAAAAAAATTACACTCTGTATGATTCTATTTTTATATAAACTACAGGCAAAACTACTCCATGGTGATAGAATTTCAAAGCAGTGGTTATCCCTTGGAATATATTAAGTGGCATAGTGCATAAGAGAGTCTTTCTGGGGTGTTAGAAATGTCTGTATCTTCATCTGAATGGGAAGTACATATGGAACAATTCACGGATCTGTACACTTAAGATTTGTGCAATTTATTGCATATAAAATATATATCTCAATAAAAAGGGAGAAAAATCTTATACTTCTAAGAAAGGTATAGAACTAATGATGTGATAATTATTTAAATTTTTAAAAAGTTTTATTAAAAACTAAAGTTTTTCACTTTAAACATATTTTTAAAAAATTTTAATTTCAGGGATCCCTGGGTGGCTCAGCGGTTTGGCGCCTGCCTTTGGCCCAGGGCGCGATCCTGGAGACCCGGGATCGAATCCCACGTCGGGCTCCCGGTGCATGGAGCCTGCTTCTCCCTCTGCCTATGTCTCTGCCTCTCTCTCTCTCTCTCTCTCTCTCTCTGTGACTATCATAAATAAATAAAAATTAAAAAAATTTTAATTTCAGCATATTTGACATACAGTGTTATATTAGTTTCAGGTGTACAATATAGTGATTCAACAATTCTGTACATTATTCAGTGCTCATCATGATAAGTATACTCTTAAGTCCTTCACCTATTTCACCCATCCCCTCAACTATTTCCCTTGTGGTAACCATCACTTTGTTTTCTATTTCTGAGAGTCTGTTTTTTGTTTGTTTCTTTTTTCTTTGTTCACTTGTTTCGTTTCTTAAATTCCACATGTGTGTAAAATCATATCCTACTTATCTTTCTCTGACTTGCTTATTACACTTAGCATTATACCCTCTAGATCCATTCGTGTTGTTGCAAATGACAAGATTTCATTTTTTGTGTGGCTAAGTAATATTCCATTGTGTGTGTGTATACACACACACACACACACACCACATTTCCTGTATCCGTTTATTTAACACTTGGGTTGCTTCCAAAACTAGGTATTGTAAATAATGCTACAATAAACATAAGGGTTAATATAGATTTTCAAATTAGGGTTTTCATATTCTTTGGGTAAAGTCTTAGTAGTGGAATTACTGGATCATATCATACCCTTACTGGGTAACAACCCAGTAGTGGAAGCACTGGATCATAGTGGAATTACTGGATCATTACTGGATCAATTTTATTTTTTTGAGAAACCTCCACACTGTTTTCCACAGTGGCTGGCCTGATTTGCAGTCCCACCAACAGAGTATAAGGGTTCCTTTTTCCCCACATCCATGCCAACACTTGGTGTTTCTAGTGTTTCTGATTTTAGCCATTCTGACAAATGTGAGGTGATACCTCATTGTGGTTTTGATTCGCTTTTCCCTGATGATGAGGGATGTTGAGCATCCTTCCATGTGTCTGTTGACCATCTGGACGTCTTCTTTGAAAAAGTGTCTATTCATGTCCTCTGCCTATTTTTAATGAGATTATTTGGGTTTTTTTGGTGTTGTGTTGTGTAAGTTCTTTGTATATTTTGGATACTAACCCCTTATCAGATATGTCATTTGCAAATACCTACTCCTGTTCAGTAGGTTGTCTTTCTGGTTTGTTGATTGTTTCCTTTGTTGTGCAGTAGCTTTTTATTTTGTGATAATTATTTTTGACTTCTATCTTCTGGTAGTTGCAATATATATAATACAAGCTTGAGGATTCTGAGAAGATGGCAGAGGAAGAATCACCAGGAATCTGTCTCCCCTCTGGGAGGACAGTTGCATTGGTGGAATCAGTGTGATGTAACTGTTTTGGAAGTCTGGAGTCTATTGAAGGCTTGCAATTTTCAGGGAAAACTTAGGATGGTAAATTATGGTTAATTTTGGTCACTTTCAGCTCTTAGTATGATAGCACCATCCCCAGCCCTCAGCTATAGGGCAGACAGCTGTGCACATGTTCCTGGAGCAACCTGCATGCAGTA